GAAAACGCTCTAACATGGCCCCGACACTGCCCAGAGAGGCCCCCCAAATGGCACCCGAAATGAAAATGACAGCCCAAGTGGCCCACAGAAGCCCCAGGAGGCCCTCGAGAGGCCCCAAGGAAGTTTCCAGGACACCCCGGCAAGGCCCAGAGGCCCCCCCACCCGTCCTCCTCGAGCACAGCTGCGAGCCGAGTCTGTCCCGCATCAGCGGCGCGGCGACGGGCGGGCGACCTGGTGCCGCGCGCAGCGCATTGCCTCCCTGGCGCGGTCGTCCGCCACGGGCGACGGGAGTCGAACCAAAAAAACCTTAAATGGTGGGAAGAAGTGGTCAACACCAGTGGGCAGCAAAGATTTTGACCACTCGAGGCTCCCGTCAGGCGTCTTTGATTTGTTCAGTGCGTTCAGGGGAACTGCGCGGCTAGATCGGGCAAGCACGCGCATGCAGCGCGCAGTGCAAATTGATGTCCCGCCATCCCACTTTCATTTTATCTCGCCTCTCTGCCCCACCTCCATGGCTATATGCGTAATCGAGCTTGGCGCAGGGATGCGACTCAGCAGAAGTGTGGGGGCGCTGGCTCACCAACAAAAAACAAACGTGCTCGAGCTGTCGCCGAATGCAGACCGGAGGCTCACTTCGGAGTGCCGGATGCTTACCAAACGTAGCTCTCTGCCAGAAGCTCAACTGCAATGCCGCATCCCGCCGAACTGTCGTCGACGTCGTTGACCCATATCAAGGTCCGCAGCGCCAGCTGTAAAGCCTTCGAGAGAAAATCCCGCGCAACTAGCAAGGCAAGGCTTCGAGGAGGCGTTTGCGGGTCGGCCGGAACGAAGAGAATGCTCCAAAAAACTGTTGTTGAATGCGTAATGTTCTCGTCCTGCTCCTCATCCTTTCCCTCGTCGCGCTGGCCGTGAGCAGCCTGCGAACGCCCCGCAAGGCAAAAACCGAAACCGGCTGGGCCCCTGCTTTGGCGGCAGCTGTCTCAAACAAGCCGTCCTCCGGCGCAACGGCGCTGCTCCGCAGCCGCAAGGCGCAAGGACACAAATCAATCAAACTGATGTCCTGCCATCCCAGCTTCAGATTATCGCCTCTCTGCCACACGCCCCTGGCTACGTAAACAAGCTTGGCGCAGGGATGCGAGTCAGCAGAAATGTGGGAGCGCTGGCTCACCAAAAAAAGCAAACGTGCTCGAGCTGTCGCCGAATGCAGACCGGAGGCTCACTTCGGAACGCCAGCTGCTTACCAAACGTAACCCTCTACCAGAAGCGCAACTGCAATGCCGCATCCCGCCGATTCACTCATAGGTACCAGAGGAGTACGCTGTCGTCATCAAATCCATCCTCCTCCTCCTCCTCGTCCTCCTCCTCCTCCTCCTCCTCCTCCTCCTCCTCCTCCTTTTCCCAAGCGTGCAAGTCGTGAAAACCTTCCCCAATCTACCAGCACGGTCACTCGAGGCCTGCCACGGCACTTGAAGCCGCTGCCGAAGCTCCAGAACCACGCTTCAGTGAAATGCGACTTGCGCATGACACTGGCTGGCTTGCACCGTCAGCGTGGTCGTCAGCCCCGCCCGCCCGCCTCTGTCCCCAAGAGACCACCCACTACTGAACAGACTTCATCTCGAAGAAACGACCCACTACTCAACAGCCTCCGTGTCCAAGAGAACACCCAGTATTCAACAGACTCCATGCCCAAGAGAGCACCAAGAACTCAACAGACTCCGTCTCCAAGACAGCACCCTGTACTCAGCAAGCTCCGTGTCCATCTGCGCGCCATGGCTGCCCATCTCCGCCTCAGAAGACTGAGGCGCCCTCGAGAAACACAGACTGGTGGGCTGGGTCGTGAAAGAGCGGCTTGAGCCAAAATGGCTACGGACCTCCTCCTCCTGCTCCTGCTCCTCCTCCTCCTCTACGTCCTCCCCCCTTCTGGTTCCGAGTAAAGGGGTCTTTCGTAATGCCAAAGAAAAAACCCGAAGCAGTGGATGGTTTTAAAAATTGTGCTGTGGATATTGAGATCGATTGTGATATCGAAAAAGATATCGAACGTGGGATCGATAGTGAGGAGGAGAGTCAGGTCGATCGTGAGATCGCAAGAGAAGTGGGTAGTGAGGTCGATGGGATGAGACAGATCGATACGGAGATCGACAAACCCGGGAGCCAACAACCCCGGGAACCCCGCCGCCCACTGAGATCGGCCCGGAACCAGCAACCAAGAGCCCGGGAACCTGGAACCGGGAACCCGGCGGCCCACCGAAATCGGCCGCCTACTTTCGCCAAATTCTTCAAGATCCGCTAGGACCCCTTCAATGCAAGCACTGATTTGGGAACTGTAGTTCATCCTGTGGCGCATGGCGCGTGGCAACCACGTGCTGATATTGTACGACGTGCGTATCCCGCACGAACGATTGCAATAACTATTGCGTAGAGATCTCTATATATATATATATATATATATATATATATGTGTGTGTGTGTGTGACACCCCCATTTCAGAGGACCCATTCGCCCGAATCCGAATTTGAAACCCCCATTTCAAAGGACCCATTCGCCCGAATCCGACTCTTCCCCTCCAAATGTTCCCCCAAAGGTTTCCACAACTCTCCGGATGAGGCGAACTGCGGCGCCGGTCAGTCGCCCTGAGGGACGGCCCTGCGAGAGCCTGGCGGTGGTAGTTGCTGAGGGAGGGGAAAAAGGGAGGAGGGGGGACGCAGGCCGTGGTGCGAGAGTTTCGCTCGCAATCCCAACTTTCACGGGTGACAAACATGTCGGCTCCAATGCCGACCATGCTTCCACGACTCCTGGGAGGTAATAACGAATCCAACAGCCTGGGCAGACTTTGATCCAACGTTTTGCCACATGCAGTCGGACCTAGGCAAGAAGAGCATCCTCCAATAGCATGAGACCCTCCGCCGGCCAAGACATTCAGAACATCCAAGGGTAGCTACCCTCCCCCAAGATGTACGAGAACATCCCAACATTCCCCCATATTTGTCCATATTGTCTGGAGTTTCATCTTCCCCCCCCCCACTCCCCATATATTCCTATCTTGTCTTCGGGATCGACGACTATTTGTGTCTGTGCTTCCCTCTTCATTAATCATCGCTCTTTCTGGCCCTTCCAAAAGGTTTCCAATGGCCTCCGGCCAAAGCCGACGGCCACCCGGGCCGCCCGCAGGATTGCGCAACATCCTTCTTGATGGCCTGCACGCGCGGAAGAACGGAGGGGGGGGACAGGCGCTCAAGGGGGAAACATCGACCTGGGATCGTCGATAAATCGACGATTGATCTGCGATAGGCTCCCGACAGCGAACCCGCAAGTTCATGGCTCGGGTGGGCTATCAGGCCCCTATCAGCAATCAATGGGCGATTTGGGGGCGATGCTTTTCCCCCTGAGCCTGCCCGCCCTAACGTTGCCCCTGATCCGAACGGTCTCCAGGGCATCGCTCGGCCCTCCAGCGGCAGGTCGGGACGATTCTGGCACCCCCACCCCCAGAACGCTCTCGACGAGACGCAGCTGATGGAAACCTCCCCGGGCCCCGAAAACTATCGAAACTGCTTGCCACCGTGGACCCCATAGTAAGACTTGATACTGTGGATGTGTAATCTATGTGATGCACAAGCGCCTCTGCGGTCGTTTTCCGAAGAGCAAGTAAGCATCCTCGGGACACCCCAACAAGCAACAACGGGCGGCACCGGGCTGGAACATGGGGAATACGTTCCAGGATTTCCAAGAGTATCGAGCGGCCCTCGCTTTTGCAGCCTGCGTGGAACATCAGGAGGTGCGCCTTTGACATCTTTGCAATATTATTCTCATGACCTCGGGATACCCCGGCATGCGGCAACGGGCGGCAGCGGGCTGGAACGTGGCGAATCCTCGGGACACGCATACGGGGGCAACGGCCAGCAACGGGCCGCAACGTGGCGAATCTTGGGGGCATTCCCATGGGCGGCAACGGGGCGGCAACAACCTCGAACGTGGCGAATCCTCGGGGCACCCATCCAACTCCTCAGAAACGCAAGTCAAAACCCCTGAGTACTAGCACTGCTTGGGGAACTTGGGAAAACCGTCGAAATCCGTCGGGGAGCACCTCAACGACGGGCCCCCCGACTCCCTCCCTCTCCCTCCGCCCTTCCTCGACGGCGAGCCCGGCGGGAAAGCAAGAAGGGCGGGCCTTCGCAGAAGCCTCGGACATCCCCCGGCCTTCTGAAGTTTTTTCCCCAACAATCCTGTGGTGTTGGGTCTTCGTTTTGAAAAGAGATCCCCGCGTCCACTCTCCAATCCTCCTCCTCCCGATCCTCCATCCTCCCGTCACCCCCCTCTCTTTGGCACAACCCCTCACACGTTCGTGGCCCCATAGGAGCTCCACCGAAGGCCCAAATGCCAGCTTTTGCATGCGCTCCGCACCCATTTCTGCACACCCCTCACACGTTTCGTGGCCTCATATGGGCTCCACCGAAGGTCCAAATGCCAGCGCTCGCATGCGCCCACCGCACCCATTTGGGCACACCCATCACACGTGTCGTGGCCTCATGGGCTCCACCGAAGGCCCACATGCCAGCGCTCGCATGCGCGCACCGCACCCATTTTTGCGCACCCTTCACACGCTGCGTGGCTCCATAGGGAGCTCCACCGAAGGCTCACATGCCAGAGCTCGCATGCGCCCGCCGCACCCGTTTTGACACACATATTACACGCTTCATGGCCCATAGAGGGCTCCACTGAAGGCCCACATGCTGGCGCTCGCATGCACACACCGCACCCATGGTGGCACACCCCTCATACACTTCGTGGCCCCATAGGGAGCTCCACCGAATGCGGTGCATAAAACGAATGTACCCAGAGCTGCATGTGGTTGGGTCCTTCGCCAGGATGTTATGTGAAACCTTGCCCGAAGACGCCATCAACTTCTCCGAAGGCCGGAGGGCTTCTGCGAAGTCCCGCCGCCTTCTGGGAAGGCACCCTCGCTCGCTGCCGACTTCCCCCCCTTCGTCCGACCCGCGGCGCTCCTCGAAGTCCATGACCGACTTCCGGATGAAATCCATGCCCACCCTGCGCCTCGGGCTGTCCTCGCAGGCTGGATGGGCCGCTCCCGCGCAGGCTCGCTCTCGCGCTCGTGCTCGAACTCGGGCTCGTGCGCAGGCTCGCGCTCGCGCTGAACTCGGGCTCGGGCTGGGGCTCGGGCTCGGGCCCGTGCTCGGGGGTGGGCTGGGGCTCGGGCTCGTGCTGCTCGGGCGGGGGGGGTGGGGGCGGGGGGGGCGGGGTTCAGAAGAGAATGGCCTCAAACTGAGGGCCGTCGATCAGAGATTCAAGGTTAAGGGCTCAAGATGCAACTTCATGAGAATAATGAAAAACTAGTGGCCCGATTGAAAGGCCATTGGGCCGGATCAGCCTGGGGCTGAGCTGAATTCGGCGGGCTGAAATGGAGTCAGGCCAGATTAGGCCAGTTTCGACCACGGATGTTGCAGAGCGATGTTGGATTAAACCTTCAAGGGATTGCATCCGAAAGGGGCTGCAGGCTCAAGGCCAAGGAATCTGGGTCTAGAATGAGGAGTCACACATCCACGCCTGACTATGGAGACAGAGTGGTGGTAAGATGGTGCTGTGTAAGGGCTTTGCGCACAGAGGATCGCGATAGGGTTGCGAACTTACTGAGGAAGAGTTGGTGACTGAGGCTGCACAATACATTGCGGCAACACACACGAACGACCGAGTGGCTCAAGGATCCAGACACCCGCCGATCTGATTTTTTCAATCCGCGGCCACAGAGGTCCCGACCCCTTCCCCTGGGGTGTTTTCTCGTCACGGATCCATTTTGATGGTCCCTGGGCCCGATAACGGGCCCTGGAGGCCGAAATCTAGGAAAAAGCTGCCAGATTGAGAAAGAAATCGGATCCTCGGATCTCCGGGGATGTTTCACCTGAGCGGAGAGCGTCCTGGACCGAGATCTCGAAGCACCGCTCTGGGCCCTCGTCGAACGCGCTCACGGCGGAGTGCGGGTCCAGGTACAGGCCCTCGACGCGCTCGAACCTGGTGGAACGCCCGCGGCTAGATCAGATCAAGTGTTATGCCCTGCTGGCACGTGTGATTAGTCAGACGCGTTCCGCCATCGGGTCGAAGTACTCCGCACAAGTATCGGGTCTGGGGCTACGGTGGTGACTCCTTGCGACGTTGCAGATGTTTCGAGACGTCGGCCCTCAGGGGGGGGAGGACGGCCGAGTCGGACGAAACGCTGGGGGGGTAGTACAACTGGGAGTTAGCCAACCAACTCACGTCACTGGTTTTCCCGGCGGCTCCCAGCGCTTGAGGATGCGCACGCGATGAGAGGAGCGCACTGGGCGGCGGGCCCGAAACCAGCTGCACGCAGCATACTCCGTCACCCCCCCTCTTTCCCAATCCCCCCCTTTCTCGGCGGCGAGCGGGGGAGGGAAAAGAGAAGGAGAAGGCCTTCTCAAAGGCGGCTGGACTTCTCAGAAGCCCTCCGGCCTTCTGGTAAGACTTCTCTGTGTCTTCGGGGAAGGCTCCGAAAACTTCTCCGAGGGCCAGGAGAACTCCGAGCTCTCTGAGAAGGCCCGCCCCTTCATCACTTTCCCCCTGGACTCGCTGCCGACTTTCGTCCGACCCGAGAGGCGTGCAGGAAGGGGAGCACGAAAACGAACGAGCCTGCCGTCGCCGCGGAGCTTCGCAGGCGCGGCCGGCGCGACGAAGGCTCTGGCCTCCAGAAAAGCCAGGTTACCGAGCAGGTATGAGGCGTCGACGAGAAAGCGAAAAAGACAGACGCGGAGGGACAGAAGGAGGGACAGGAGGAGGAGAAAGACGACGACGACGACGACGACCCCAGACATCCGACGTCGTGTCTTGTTCGCAATGTAGCTCCCCAAAGGTCTCGACCCCTTCCCCTGGACTGGCTTTTCATCCTGAGACGTTTTTTGAAGGTCCTGAGGTCCGGCGATGGCCCCCAGAAGCCGTAGCTAAAACCTTCCGAAGGATGTCAGGGACGACGACCATGCCATGAGGGAGCACCAGGACAAAGACTCAGAGCCAGCACTGCCTCTTGGGGTGAGATGGTGGGATCATCGTCACTATCATCAACATCATCATAATTACCATCACCATCACCATAACCATCCGCCATCACCGTCACAATCACCATCACCATCACCTCATCCTCATCACCCTCATCCTCCTCCTCCTCCTCCTCCTCCTCCTCAGCATCCTCATCATCACCATCATCTTCAACGCACCGTGCGCAGGATCGCCCATGAGAGCCGTTTCCCGATCCCCCAAAAGCCCCGCATAAGCGATCTTGCACTTTTGCAGAAATTAGAGCTTCCCTCCATGGACAATATACTCAGGCGGCGCCGCCTGCTATACATATCCAGCTTGATCTACAAGCACTTCCCTGCGCTGCAGGCCCTCCTCCTGCCCCACTCGGCCTCTCCCAACCCGTGGTCTCAACGAATTCTCGCCGACCTGCACGAGATTCCCGGGCTCGCGCCGCCGTCAGCCCGGCGCGACCTAGATGCGTTAGGGGACCCAAGCTCAGCAAAAGGAGCAGCCGCATGGACAGAATTCATAGCCACCGACTGGTGGAAGAGGAAACGTCTCGCCTGGGACGTTACGCTAGGACCGGCGTCTTTTGCCGACGACTCCACAGATCCTATTACAGTTCCGTGCCCAAAGTGTTACAAACATTTCAGTAGCAACAAAGCCGTCGCTACGAACAAGATGAGGGTTCACGGACATCGGAAACCCGTGCCGTCCGTGATCCCAGCAGCAGCTACGGCATGCCCTACCTGCTCAAAAGTTTTCGGGACCAACCGGCAACTTTTAGACCATACGCAATACAAAGCTCGCAAATGCCGAAATGCGATTACCGCACTCTGTGTCTTTCCGATATTTGTGTCTTGCCGCACGACTTAGGTATATGGTTTCTGTCTGTATCATCATCGCCATAACCATCACCATCACCATCGTCATCGTCATCGTCATCGTCATCATCATCATCATCATCATCATCATCATCATCAACATCATCATCATCATCATCACCCTCTCCTTCTTCATCATCTTCCTCATGATCGTCATCAGCATCACCATCATCATCATCATCATCATCATCATCACCGCCATCATCATCAGCATCATCATCATCATCATCAGCAGCACCAAAAGCAGCATCATCATGATCATACTCATCGTCATCATCATCACCATCACCATCATCAGCATCACCCCCCCCGCTCCCCCTCAGTCCAATTTGGTCATAAATAGCTGCTCCTGCTCGCACCTCTCCCTGCCTCTGCTATTCCTCCTCACCATCCTCCGCCTCCTCCTCCTCCTCCTGCTCCTCCGCCGCGTCCTCCGCTTCCTCCTCCTCCTCCTGCTCCTCCTCCCCCTCCTCCTCCTCGTCGTCCTCGTCGTCTTGAGAGTGGGCGGCACCGGCCGCAAAGCCTTCACAATAACTACTCCTGCTCGCACCCCAAGACGTGTCGGCAGGGCGGGCCGGGTGGTTCACCTAAGACTCACTTCCTCACCACTAATGACGCTGAATATTGAAATATGCAACAGCTTCAGGGGTGGAGGGGGGTGTCGAAAATGTTGCTCTCGCATGAGCGCCGCGCACATTCGCCTGAATCACTGAACACATATTGCAGCACATTCACGTATGGGGAAGCACAAAACATTTTCAACCTGCTGCTCGAGCATTAGCGCTGCGCACATTCGTCTTCAACGCGTGCAACAGCTTCAGGGATGGAAAACGGTTCCAGTTCGAACTGTGGCTCTTGCTAAAGCGCCGCGCACATCCGTTTGGCAAGCTTGCAATACGTTCATGGGTGAATGCTGCTTCCTGTCTCAAGAGTTGAGCGACAACAGAAAACTGATCTTACGCGAGAAGATATCGCGACTTTACCCTGCGGCTTACGCAGGCCGCCAGCGCGGCTGGCTTACGCAGGCCGCCAGCGCGGTACGCTGCATTGGAAACGAAGGAGCTTACGCGCGCGCGAATGTCGGCGCAATCGACCCCATCTTCTTCCGTCGATCATGTGAGTCTCGCCTTAGCGCCGCGAGCGTTCGTCGTACAACCTTGTAACAGCTTCACGAATGAAGGGAGGTTCCATTTCAAACTTCGGCTCTCGCATTAGCTCCACATGCACTCGTCTGAAACACGTGCAACAATTTCATGGACGACGCGAACGCTCGCCTGACCAACTTGCCACAGTTGCACGGGTGCAGGAGGGGGGGTATTGCAAAATTGTCTTTTCGCCTGAGCGCAGCGCGAACTTGCTTTTAAAGGTTGGACTAGCTTGACGGATTGGGGGCGGCGGCTCCTGTTTTAGAATGGGGTTTTCGCCTGAGCGCAGCGAGCATTCGTCTTGACAACTCGCAGAATGTTCACGATTAGGACACACATGGTTTCAAAATCTTGCTCCCGCCTTAGCGCAGCGCACACTCACCTTAACAATTTGCAGCAACTTCAAGGATGGAGGGCGGTTCTGGTTCAACATCTGGCTCTCGCCTCAGGGCCGCACGCATTCGTTTATGAAAGAAGATGGATGACTGACTAGTATTTTTCTATGGGTGGATGACTATCCTTTATCTAAAACAAGCTCTCCCTGGAGGCGTCACTAAGGTAACATACCCGAGACTTCAACGCACGTAGCGCTGCACAAATCCATGGCAACTCTGTTCAAAAAATGAGGACTGTCGCTTTGGACTTCGCCGGATTTCATGACCACTGGATCAACACCGTGCAACAGCTGCACGGATAGATGGGCGGCCCTTCTTCGAAAGGGGGACCTCGCTGGACACCTCGTTGAACTGTATGATCACTGTCAATCGCAATTCTGTTTACGCGCCAGTGGGCTGCAAGACAACTCCTTTTCAAAGCGGGATCCTCGACAAACTGGCAAGCCCAACGGTGCTGGTCTTTCGGGGGGAGGGCGCTTCTTGCAGTGGAAGAGGAAGATTTGCAGAGGAATGTGGCGAGGGGGCTGGGGGCGGGATGGTGTATTGCACACTCGTTCGCGCCTCTATGGGTAACTTAGATCTGCCTTCTTATCCTCATCCGTCCGAATCATCATCACCTGGGCGCACGCTTGTATGGATCAGGGGTCCGTATCGGGAGGGCACCACGCGAAACGTGACGACAGTGCCGCCCGATTTGGCGACGCAACGCGTCGATTTTGCATGGAAGGGGAACCCGCCGCTAATGCACGCGCCTCAATCCATGTTTGCGTTTCCTCGACCCTCGTCATCATCCACCTCGTCCTCCACACTAACTCCCCCGTCCCCCTTCCTCCTCTCCCTCCCCCTCCTCCTCCCCTGTCTTCCCTCTCCCCCTTGTCCCCTGGAGAGGGGCGGAACGGACGGGGGAGAACGAGGAGAACGAGCGAGGCAGGGTGGGGGTAGGCGATGGGGCGGCTGCGGGCGGGGCGGGGAAGGGACAAGGGAGCCAGGAGAGCGACGAGAAAGCCTCCGAATACCCCCCGAAAGCCCTGGACGTCCCTCGAGTAGAATCGAAAAGCGGCGCCCACGGAGAGAGGCGACGAGAAAGCCCCCGAAAGCCCTCCAAAACCTTGGAGTCCCTCGAAGATAGCTGATAAACAACGCCGACGGCGATGGCGACGAGAAGGCCTCCAAAAACCCTCGAACACCTTCGCATATCGTCAAACAACGACGTCGACGGCGAGCGACGACGAGAAGGCACCCGAAATCCTATCAGAAGACCCTCGAATGCCTCCGAAGATCGCAGCGAAGCGACGTCGAGGGCGACGGCGCCGCGGCGGCCTCGTCTTCGTCGCGTCGTTGCCGCCGCCGCTCTCGTCGTCGTCGTCCGTCTTCTCCGTCCTGGCTGTCCCTGGTAGTAGCAACGCAAGGCTGCTGCCGCTCTCACCCTTTCAAGGCCATCGGGGTAAATAGCCAAGCGCGCCGCGGCAACGACGACAACCAAGACTGCGGGGGAACGTCACAGGGGGGATAATTAGGCTCAGGGTGGGGAAGCATGGATCTGGAAGCGGCACACATATGTGCATATGTATGTACAGGTATGTGTATATATATATATATATATGTAAATATATGTATATGTGTATATTATGTGTATATATAGGTACACATATACTAGAACCATCGCGCGCGCTTCGCGCGCGATCAAATTCTAGCTAAGCTTGATAGGCTAACTCATGTAATGTCATTTTGGTCGCTTCCTGCGTCCAAGGACTCCCTTGGAGGCCCTGCGCAAGCCTCGGAATCGTATAGAACGGGAAGTGCGGAAACGCAGACATCATTAATTTTCCTTTAGGTGTTCAACGATTTGGGGCCCGCTTCCTGGGTTCGTTTTTGGGATGTGAGGGGGGTCTGAATTGTGGTCTTTTGCGCAAGAGTAGACCGGGGGCCAAACTTGAAAAAAAAGAATTGTAGGATTTCAATGTTTTTCCAGTTCCTCGGCGCTATTCGGCGCTGTTTGTTAGCCGCGGGTTTTGTTAGCCGGGCGGGTTTGTTAGCCTCGCGGGTTTTGTTAGCCGGGCCCCTCAGGGGTGTGGGATCTTCCGACCTCCTGGGGGTTCTGGAGGCCTCCTGGAACGCAGCACATCCACCCCATGCCATTCGCAAAGGGCCGTCGTCGTCGTCGTCCCCCAGGAATGCAAGCCGCCTACACAACAATTCCCTCCGACCCACATGCCATACGCAAAAGACCGCCTTCGTCGTCGTCGTCGTCGCCCGTCGCCGCACCGGGACTGCAGGACGCCCTCGCAGCCCCCGCCCCCCAATTTGCCATCCACAGTCCGCCGTCGTTTTCGCTGTCGTCATCGCCCGTCGGCGTTCGTCGCCCCACAACTGCAAGACGCCTGCGACAGGGGACAATAGCCACCCCCGTCGCTCTGAATGATCACCTTTCGGGCCTCCCCTGGCCTCCTAGATGGCCTGGGAGGGCCAAATCGATTTCTCAGCCGTCCGTGGTCCAAGCTCTTGGGCCCGCTATAATGAGGGCCGCGGGGCCGGCGAACCTTTATTTGAAATCACCCCCAGAAAAGTCGCCCCTTATCGTTGACCCCATAAGAAATCATTCGTTCGGTGTGTGTGTGTTTGTGTATACATACTACAAATTCAAGTATACAGCAACTATAGATGTAAGTGATGGCACATATAGTTGAGGCTTACACAGTGTAGGCCTGGACCAGTTTGCCCCTGGCAATCTATGTTGCGTAATCTACGCTGAGCCATCTATGTGATGTAATCTGCGTGGTGTCATCTAGGTCGCGAACATATGTTGTGCAGCCGATGTGGTGCAATAGTTGTGAAGGAATCTACGTGGCGCACTTCACTTTGCAGACTTTGGTGTTGTCAACTCGACTGCCCGCGCAATCGCCCGACCAACCCACCCGCAATTTAATTTGCAAAAACCATGCGGCGGCGATTGCGATGACTGCTTGGCGCTGGCTGGCGCACCGCTTCGGCCGCGCTAGGGCGCGCAAACTCGCGCGCAGAGCGGCATGCTGGCCTGGCACAACCGACGCGGCCGCGGTGGCGCTGACCGCTGGGCGCCCCCCTGCGCGTCTCGCAGGCCGCGCTGACGCGCGGGCACTTTAGTTAAAGTCGGTGACCTGGTTGGGCGCGATCTCATGGCGACGTCGGGAACGGCAGGCACGATGATTATAGTAACGATGAATGTGGCGATGATGTCGATGGCGGCAGGGCCAACGACGGTGCCGATGCTGGTCACGCCGATGACGACGATGGTGCCCACGTGTCGGTAATGAAGGTTTGGGAAGGATTTTGACATGCGTGGGCGGCCGGCGCAGACGAGCGGCCCGTATCGTTTATTTGCCCCGCCCCCCCACCCCCACCCCCCATCCCCCACTTTTACCCGCGCGCACCAACCAAGCGCGCGCGCAAAGACGTCCGAATGATTGCGAAGTGCGCGCGCGAGAAAGGCCCGCCTGATCGGAAGGATGTCTCGGGCTGCGCGGCATGTTGGGCCGTTCTTTACTATCTGTGGGCTCCTGAGGGTCGTCTTTTTTTTCGACTTCCGTCTTGGTAAGTCCAGAACGGCTTGGCAGCGCCAACAGGTCAAATAAGGCAACAAATGCGACCCAAAAGGCAGCAGCCGTGAAGAGACACTGAATTCCTCGCTAGCACTGCAAAATGATGCAGCCACACTTGGACTATGCAGAGGGTCGCCATGCATTAAAGACCAATGTTATCGGGCCAGTCGGGTGTGGGGAGAGGAACGAAGTAGAGGAGGAGACGAAGTGGAAGAGGAGGGAAGCTCAAGTCCCGCCCAAAAGGGGTTCAAATCCGGGGCGTCATATGAACTTCCGTGAATCGGAACGCAACCGTACGCGGCTTCCAAAGTACCAATCCAAAAGAAGACGCGGAGGGGAGGGAGGACGAGCAGGGGGGTGGAACCTTGTGGACCACAGGGCTGGTGCCCACGAGGTTCTGAAGACTGTACACAATATCTGGTCAGCACGTGAAACTATAAAGTCACACACGGACTGCGGAAATTACTGCAAGAGACAATCGACTAACGAATTGTGCTGCTGCGGGGATGTTCATAGAGCCGACGTGCATGAAATACCGATGGCGCTTCATCTGGCCATATGTTTCCATTGGGGAACGGCCAAACAATGCGATGTACAGATGCTGCGCCCGATGCGTCAAGGAGTGCGAAAGCGTGCACGGGGAGGGAAACAAGGCAGAGGAGGAGAAGAGGAGGAAAAAGAGGAGCGAGGCTCGCGTCCCGCAAAGTGGTGCTCAAATCTGAAACGCCGCGCGGCGTTCCGCGAAGCGGAACACAAACAGACATGCTTTCAGGCATCGAGCGGCCAGCCAGCGACACGACAACATGAAGTGCCAAAACCCAAGCAAAAAGGCGGAGGGGTCGCCGTCCGCAGGCCTGGTGCATACGTGGCACCGAAGATTATTGTGCACAATATCTTTTCAGATATTCGTTTTAGGAAATACGCGCTCGCCCCCCCCCCCCCCCGACAGAGGGCCACCGCGGCCAGCACCCGGAGCGGCCGCCCACCGCCGCCGCCGCCTTTCCCCACGCCTCCTCGGAAGGTCGGGCGGCGGCACGGCCGTCGCGCTCGACGCGCCTCCTCGGGCCCGCTCGCGCCTCCGTGACCCGAGGGGGGGACGAAGAGGAACACCTCCGCTCGCCTACACGCGGCGAAATGACCTCTGGTGACCCCCTTGGTTAGACGAGCGCGCTACTCCACTCTCAGAGGAACTGCTCTCAGATGGCCTCCCCCAGGACGCCAGACATCCGGGCGCCCGTGCGCCTCGCAGGCTCTACAGCTGCAGTGTCCTCTGCGGCGACGCCGCCCTGCCAGCGGCGGCTCTGGCCCGCACCTCGGCGGCGGCCGTCGCGGCCTCGGCACAGCCCTGCGGCTGCGAGGCCGCGCCAGCGGCGCCGCCGCGCCGCCCCTCGGCCGCGCCCGCTGTGGCCTCCGCAGGCCTCTGCCCCTCGGCCGCTGCCTCTTCGGCCTCCGGTCGCTGCACGCGACCTGGGGGGCCGCGCTCCAGGCTGGCTCTGGGAGTGGCCGGCGGGGTCCCCTTCGACAGGATGCGAGGCGCTCTCGTGTCGATCTGGAGGTCCTGGAGCACAATGCGCACAACACCCTTGCCGTGGGGCTGCCCGCCAGGGGGTGGTGTCAGGTCGATCCTCACATAAGCCGAGAGCAATCGCCGCGTCCGGCGCGTCCCGCTTGTGGCCGCGCGGGCGGAGCACCTTATGTGGAGCCGCTCGCTGTATAGCTTACCACCAGAATCGGGTGCCTCCTCCAACAGATCGAACCACGCCTGCTGGATCCAGCGTGTAAAACCTGCTCGCGCGCGTGGCTTCAGCGCGGGCAAGAACTCGCTGTTGGCCTCCAGATGCTTAGCGAATGCGGGGCTGGCGTGCCTCACGGTGTAGTCCGCGGTTAGGATGTCGATCCAGCCGATGGCCTCACACTCGATCAGGAACTCGGAGCTCCCATCCGACGAATCCTGGGTGGAGTCCAATGCTGGCGCGGCTGGGGCCCAGGAAACTGCCTCTGGGGCGGCAGCTCTATGCCTGACGCAGCTGCGCACCTGAGCCGCACTGCCCAAGGTGAGTATCGGGCTGATGTCAGTAAATTCTCGGATCCCGACAAAGTACGCCGCTTGCGCATCCCGGTTTACGAAGAGCACGGAGAACACCTCGACGACGAGGGGTACGCTGGAGCTGTCCTTCATCGAGACGTGGAAGGCCGCGCTGAGCCCCACCTCGTCGTCGCTCTGATCCCAGGACCGGCCCATCTGCTCGGTGAACTTCTGGCGGTCCTGCTCGGACGCCAGGAACGACCTCACGTCCTTGCCCAAGAGGGATCGCTGCGAGTTCAGCAAGAGCATGTCGACGAGCTGGGGGGACTCGTCCTGCAGACAGAACTCGCTATTGAGCTCCACCACCGCGTCGCAGACACCTCGCAGCACCGAGCGCGCAGCCTGCAGCCCGTTCCTCGATATGCGGGCCTCCATCTCGTGCTGCGCGGCCAGGCAGATGTACTTGTGTACACAGATGACACAGGCAGTCAGCATCAGGCCCGCCATGCAAATCTGCACCGAGTAGTGCACGCGGCGAGCTTCAAAGTCGCAGGCCGTGAGTGGCTCAACAGTGCCGCACAGGATCGAGCTGCAGAGCGTCGCGGTCAAGACCAACAGCCAGAATGCATTCAGTCGCACGTTCAGATTAAACAGGCACAGCACCATCATAGATGTAAAACATATCGGGGCAGACGAGGCCGCATAGCTTGCTTCTATGGCGAATGGCGATCCATACATCGTGATGCACACTGCCACAGTAGAGGACCAGACGTTCAGGGTGCTCAGCGTCACCACCCTAGGGCATGCCACAAGAAAGAGAACAACGAAGCAGCCCACCATCATGGAGACGTCCTGCACCGACGAATTAAACCGAGGAGCTGGGCTGATGGCCCGTGCGGAAGCGGTTAAGACAACGAGCGAGGCGACTAAGACACCATACATGAGCCAGCTGTGGGCGCGAACCAGGCGCATTTTCTGCAGTTCCTCCGCGACAGAGCCACTATCTGTGCTGAAGATCAGGGAGACTGAGCGTCTGCAGAATCTGACCACATGGACAAGGCATCGGCCCACCGAACATGAAGCTGATTTGTGTCTCACCAGACTCACCACGCGGACCACGAGCACAATGCCGCCGAGCACGAACCAGACCGCGCACGCAAAAGCAACCGTCGTGCGGCGGGATCCCTCGTGCAAGAAGTTCTCGGAGGTGGGCTCCATGGCTGCTGGGCAACGTCAGGTGGGACGCGCAGGTGACGCCGATCAGGTCCTCCGGCCGTGTCGCGCGTGCTGCCAGATCCAGACCTCGCAAGCCCAGCACGAGAGTTGCTCCGAGTCGGAGCGCTCGCGCACGCTGAGATCTGAAGCGGTTGAGCAGAGATGACTTGAGCCAAAATGGCTACGGAGGCTCCTTAGGGTCGTCTTGGGCTGTCCTTGGGCGTCTCGAGGGCCCCCCGGGAAGCCGGGAGGCGCGGTACCGGCCAGATGTCAGGTGATGAGTGGGATCTCCGAGTAGGAGTCCCCACTTTGGGAAAACAATTCTGGGTTTTCCTCGATCGTCGAGGGTTAGAAGCGGGAAAACGTGATAAGGCGAAAAACATTAGAAAAAACTATTGGAAATCAACGATTTTACCTTCTTTGGGCTCTCTCGGGACGGCTCGCGCAGCTCTCTTGGGCTGTTCTTAGAGCCTCGTCGGGGTCTTTTTGGGGCCTCTCAGGGATCGGGGGTGCGTTGGGGGCCTCTGGGGGGTCCCAGAGGCCTCTCGAAGGTCTCTGGAAGCCTCCTGCTCCCGCTCTTGGGCCCATCTTGGGCCTGTTCTGGGATGGTCTGGGGCTGTCCTGGGCGCCTCTTCGACTATTTTGGCCTTTTCGGGCCGTCCCGGGACGCCTCTCGGACCTCTCTTGGGGTCTCTTGAAGGCCACCTGGGAGCCTCGAGAGCCGTCGGAAGGCTGACTTGGGCTGCTTGGGAGCGTCTTGGACCATCCTTTCGCATTCTGGGGGTTCCTGGGAGGCGTCTTGGGCCCTCCTGGGGCGCTGTGCAAGCTCCCCGGAAAGGCTGGGGGATCGGTACAGGGAGCGTCCCCGAGATGTCACGGGGAGGTGTGGGACCCGGGGCCGGGGGGCGGTATTTAGTTATATTATATTACACATAAATACAAATATACCTATACGACCACCCTTAGGGTGATAAGGAGGTTCGGGGGGGAGGAACCAACGTCTCACTCGATCGGTCTCACTGTCGATCTCACTATCGGTGTCGCTCGATCGATCCCACTCGATCGATCTCACCATCGATATCACTCGATCTATTTCATTCGATCGCTCTCACAATCGATCTGACTATCGATTTCACAATCGATATCACTATCGATCTCGCTATCGATCTCACAATCAATCTCACATTCGGTCTAACTATCGATCCCAATATCGATATCACAATCGATATCACAATCAACGTCATCATCATCATCATCATCATCATCATCATCATCATCATCATCATCATCAACATCATCGTCATCAACGTCATCAACATCATCATCATCAGCATCATCGGGAAACCATCATCATCACGATAATATCATCACCATCATCACCTCATCACCATCATCATCATCAGCATCATCATCACCACCATCATCACCAGCATCATCACCACCATCATCATCATCGGGACACCATCATCGTCATCATCATCATCGGGGCACCATCATCATGAGCAGCAACACCACCATCAACATCATCATCATCGGGGCACCATCATCATCACCACCATCACCATCACCATCATCATCATCATCATCATCATCGTCATCAACATCGTCAACATCATCATCATCATCAACATCATCATCATCATCATCATCATCGGGGCACCATCATTCATCATCACCATCACCATCACCATCACCATCACCATCATCATCATCATCATCATCATCAATCATCATCATCATCATCATCATCATCATCATCATCATCATCAACATCATCATCATCATCATCATCATCATCATCATCATCATCATCATCATCATCATCATCATCATCATCATCATCATCATCATCGGGACACCGACGGGACACCGGCGCGACACCGGCGGGACACCGCGCGCCACCGGCCCCCGAGCGGGACACCGGCGGGACACCGCGGGGCACCGGTTGCCGGAAGGGAGACTTTTGGTCCGGCCGACCCTCAGCTACAGGAGGCTTATTTCTCGCCCGCCCACGCAGCTTCGCCTCGCCCGCACGCACCGCACGCACGAACACGAAACCGAAACCGATTTCCCGGTAGGGGGGCTCTCCGTTCCACTTCGAGCTCACCCCCTCACCTCCGATATAAATATATCCAGACCAAAAAACCAAACAGACACAGTGTTTCCTTGCACCGAGAGCGCCAAACACTATGTATGTTTGGTTGTTTTTTTGTCTGAGGAACAACGAACGCCTGGGAAGGTTTTTGTAGTTTTGACAGCGCCAGTGCTTGCTGGGAGAGAGGCCCCTGCAAGCATTGGGGCTTTCAAAACCCAAAACCAAAAAAACATACACAGCATTTCCTTGCTCCTCAGACCCCAAAAAACAAAACACCAAAACTACACAGTGCTTCCTTGCACCGAGAGCGCCAAACACTGTGTATGTTTGTTTTCTTGGTTTCCTGTCTGAGGAGCAAGGGAACACTGTGTATGTTTGTTTGGAAGGGTTTTGAGCCCCTGCGAGCATTGGGGCTGTCAAAACCCCCCAAAACAAACATACACAGTGTTTCCTTGCTCCTCAGACGAAAAAAAACCTACACAATGTTTGGCGCCCTCGGAGCAAGGAAACACTGTGTATGATTGTTTTGGGGTTTTGCCAGCGCCAGTGCTTGCTGGGAGAGAGGCCCCTGCGAGCATTGGGTTCTCAAAAACAGGAAAAAAAACATACACAATGTTTTCTTGCTCGTCAGACCACCCCCCAAAAAAACAAACAACCAGACACAGTGCTTGGCGCTCTCGGTTCAAGGAAACACTGTGTATGTTTGTCTTTTCCTTGCTGAAGTCGCAAAGAGGGAGGAGGAGGAGCAAACGTTTACTGGTTACGGGTCTGCTTCTGGCTATGGTTTTGGTTATTCTAGTTCTGGTTATGGTCTTGGTTTCGGTTGTTCTGGCGTTGGTTCTGGTTGTGGTTTTAGTTATGGTTCGTTTTGTGGTTCTGTTGGCTTTGGGGGTGCTGAGGGGGGCGACCATACATATATCTCTATATATATATATATATATGTCGCTGGCGATAAGCCCCCGACAGCGAATCCGCACGCCCACGGGCGGGGTGGGCTCTCGGGCCCCTATGGGCGATGAGTGGGCGATGTGGGATTCATGCGACGCCCCCTGAGCCCATCCCCCCCAAAGCTGCCTGCCCCTGATCATCCCAATAGTTTCCAGGCCATTACTCGGGCCTCTGGCGGCCGTTCAGGAAGATACTGGTACCACCAGAACGCTCTCGACGGGACGCAGCTGATGGAAACCGCCTCGAGCCCTGCAAACAGTGGAGCATTTTTTCTGGGAAGCCACCAACAACCTGTAAGGACATTTCATGTGAAGGCCCAAACGTACCCTCAGGCTGACATGCCCCCAGGACGAGGTGCCGCAGCGGCCACGGCTCCAGCCTCGGTGGGCGCCAAAACGCAGCCGCTGGGAGTCCCGAGGTGGGCCTCGAGGCACCCTCCCCAGGGTACCTTTGCTCTAGGGTGCGCGTCGGTTGGAAGAAGTATGTCAAAACATGAAGTAGGAAGGCGGCTAAAGTCGATTGGGTCCAGGCCCTCCCAGAGAATAACAACACACAGGAAAAGCATATCGGCTCTTGAAGCAGGAAGGCGCTTCCAGTATAGTCACCCCGTATAGTAAGGATGCGCGATAAGTCTGCAAGGGACTTGGAGGGCCGTTTCGATGCTTTTCGAGCGGGGCGCGGCCAGAGAAAGTGGCCAAGGATGGACCGAAGGGGCATGGATGCAAGGATACCCTTGGGAAGGTTGCCCATCCTTACTATGCGGGCTGACTGTATTGGGATCTGGGAACCCTACGTTCAACGACCGACGTGCACGCCTGGCCTCTGAGTCTCCCCCCCCGAGCGTCGACCCCGAGGGACACAGCGAGAGGCGGCGGCGGCCCCGCTGTGAGCCACGCTGCTGCTTTGCCGTCGACGGCCTCCGCGGGCGCTGTGCGGGCGGCCTCCTCTGGGACCGCCTCGGGGCGCGCGGCTGCTCGGGGGACCCGCCGAAGAGGCGCAGGGGGTGCGCGCACGCGAGAAGTGGTCGCTGGCGCTTACAACGAAGCCGAGCTAGCCAAGGAGTAGACATCTCGCGTCGAAATTCGCCTTTTTACGACCCCGCCGACATATCCGGAACTCCAGAGTTCCTCTCCCGTCCATCCCCATCCTCCGCCACTGCGCACTCCACACACCGCCCTGTCTGGCCCCGCGCCAGAAACCAGTGCACGTGGAGAAATCACCCTGCCGTGCCCTCCTCGATCATGCCCCCGCCGCCCCAACCCTTGGCCCTTCCTCCTCCGACTGCACCGAGGGGTTGCACCCCCTCCCCCCTCCCCCCCCAACCCACCCTTCACTCGGCGGCGAGCGAGGGGGGGAAGTTGGGAGGGGCGGGTCTTCTCAGAAGGCTCAGAAGTCCCTAAGATGTCTAAGCCTTCCCCGAAGACACAAAGGAAACTTCTCAGAAGGCCCGAGGCCTTCTGAGAAGCCTCGGCGCCTTATGAAAAGGCCTTCTCCTCCTCACTTCCCCCCCTCGCTCGCCGCTGACTCACACAAACCCGCCCGCTGCCTCCCCCCTGGTCCCCCGTGGGGTCCCGACGCGGCCTCCACGGCTGCCAGTGCCTCCGTGGCCTCTCCCGCGCGGCACGCCAGGGCAGCAGCGGCGGGCGGCGCCGACGCAGCCTCTGTCGCAGCCACGGGTGGCGCCTCCGGGGCCTCCACGTGGCCCGCCGGGGCGGCAGCGGCGGGCGGCGCCGACGCAACAACTTCCGAAGCGCTCGCCGGCGCGGCCTGCACGGGCGGCGCCTCCGGGGCCTCCTCCGCCTGGCCTGCCGGAACAGCCTCCGTGGGCAGCGCCTCCTCCGCGCGGCCCCTCGGCGCGGCTGCCGCTGGCAGCGCCCCCGCCGCGGGCGGAGCAGCGAGCGCAAAATTGGTGGCAGGGGCGCCCGTTGGCAGGGCAGCCCGGGCGACCCGGCCCTCCAGCGCCATGATCCGAGCCTGCTGCTGCACGAGCAGAATCGTGTCCTCCAACTTGCTGCCGAGCGCGGCTGGGGAGCTCAGCACCTCGTGGTGCAGCGGCCCGAACTTGTAGCCGACGGCCAGCGGCTGCCTCGTCAGGAAAAAGCTATCCGTCCGCCCCGCCCCGTACTGCAGCAGGCCTGCGAGGACGGACCCGCTGAGCTCGGGGTCGCGGGCCAGCTCGCTCAGCGCTGGCACGTCCGGCAGCACCCACAGCACACGGCCGCCGCTGATCCAGGCCTGGATCCAGGTCCCGTCTGGGAGCTCGGCGCCCACACCCCGGTCGCCCAGGCGGCAGCGGTCCAGCACGGCCACGGTGCTGCAGCCGAGGCCTCGGAAAGCGGAGCGGAGCACCGCCTCCAGGCCGTCGGCGGCCATCGTGGCCGCTGGCGCGCTCCTGCTGCTGCTGCTGTCGCCGGCCTGGAGCTCGGCGTCGCTTGCGCGGCCATCGGCCCCCGGCTGCGGGGCCCCGCGAGCCAGCGACGAGGCGAGGCCCCGTGCCAGCGCCCGCTCGAGGCGGTCCTCGAAGCGGGCCCCAGCGGCCTCGATCGCCTCGGACGCCCCCGGGCCCGCGCGCCCCGCGAGGCCCTGCAGCTCCCGGCGGAACCTCGAGCCCTCGTCGTGGAGCGCCGCGACCGCGGCCACCGCGGACTCGCGCGGAGCTGCGGGGCCCAGGTCCTGTCGACGATCATCGGAACGTGTTAGTGCCGACGCGTGCTCGTCCACCGAAGCCCTTCGACATACGGCGCAGGCAATGTCCTGAGGGCCGACACGGGCTGCGTGCCATCGGCGGAGCTGCACGGGGCAGACACACAATGGGCCAACACACGTCCTGAGGACCATCGATCCTGAAGGGGAACCAAGTGGGGGAACTCGGAACTCGCGATACAACCCACCGACGCATCGGCGAGAAGATCTCGACAGCGAAACCGCGTACTCGTGGACCGAGTGGGGTGCCCAGGCCCCGATCGGCGATGAGTGGGAGATTGGGGGCCGGTGCTTCCCCCCGCCCGGCGCCTCCCCTGCGCCGGGGCCAGTCTCGGGCATTGCCCGGAGTGTTCCTTGCCCGAGGTGCCCCCATCCGCCCGAAAAAATCGCACACCATACCCAAAAGCCCGGGGGTGCGGGCGAGGGTCCTGGTCGTTGGTCGGACATCAAAACTCCCTCCCTGAGAGTGGCCCCAGGCGGCGGAGTCTGACTGGGGCAGGGAGGGTGGCATGCAACAAAATCTTGAGGACCCCAGGGTTTCCAAGGAGGCCCCCGCAGCCCCAAGAGCACCCCTCACGGGGCCCAGAGGGCCCCAGGGGGCTCCAGAATGGAGGCAGGCCAGGGACTCCCCAAACATCCGACGACACAGTCGGAACTAGAGAAACATCCTTCAAGAACATGAAACCGAGACCCTCCGTCGGCCAACACAAACAACAAATCCAAGGGTATCCTCCTCCCCAGGATGCACAAGAGCATCCAAGAAACACGAAGAACACTGGGGTACCCTCTCCGAACCGACCTCGATCTGATACCTCGGTCCGGCTGTATGATTATTTTCGTACTTACGTAGGCCCAGAGGTCACGGCCCTTCCCTGGGGGGTAGTTTTTCGTCCTGGGTCTGATGGTCCCGAGGCCCGAAGACAGGCCTCGGAGGCCGAAGTCGATGGAAAAACACCAGGATCGATAAAAATTATAGCCAGAGTGCAGTATCCCCAAACAGGGTTTCTGAACCCACTGCGGTTTCCAAGGTCGGTTGCGTGCCCGTCCAGTGCGGACTGGCATGGACCACCTCGCGCGCGGCATCTCGGACCCCATAAGTGCGACGATGTCTCGGGCGAAACGTGCTGCGAGGAAGTCTCAGGCGAAACGGGCCGGACCACCTCGAGCGCGGCGACTCAGAGCTCCGAGTTGCGGGGGCCTCCTGGGGCCTCCTGGGGACCTCCTGGGGCTTCCTCCTGGGCCTCCTGTGGCCTCCTGAACCCCACCTGGGGCTTCCTGAAGCCTCTTGGGGCTCCTAGGGGGGGATATCCAACATGTGGCCGTCTGGACCCACCAAAATGGAGGGGGGGCACAAGAGCAGGAAAAGTCAACGAATCGACACCGGATGTGTATTACCTTGACACGTTCTGATAGGGGGCCTCCTGGGGCCTCCTGGGAGCCTCCTGGCAATCTCCTGGGGACCCCTGGGTCCTGTCCTGGGCGTCCTGCGGCCTCCTGAAGCTCTCCTGGGGCTCCCAGGGTCCCAAGTTCTGGGCCCCCAGGCTGGACCACCTCTTGCGCGGCATCTGGGAGCTCAGAGCTGCGAGAATGTCTTGTGCGAAACGGGCCGGACCACCTTGCGCACGGCATCTCAGAGCTTAGAGTTGCGAGGATGTCTCAGGCGAGACGGACCGGACCACCTCGCAAAAGGCATCTCAGAACTCAGAGTTGCGAGGATGTCTCAGGCGAAACGGGCTGGACCACGTCGCGCGCGGCATCTCCGAGGTCAGAATTGCGAGGATGTCTCAGGCGAAATGGGCTGGACCACCTCTTGCGCGGCAGCTCAGAGCTCAGAGTTGCGAGGATGTCTCAGGCGTAACGGGCCAGACCACCTCGCGAGCGGCATCTCAGAGCTCACAGTTTCGAGGACGTCTCAAACGAAACGGGCCAGACCACCTCTCGCGCGGCATCTCGGAATGCAAAAGTGCGAGGATGTCTCAAGTGAAACGGGCCGGACCACCTCTTGGGCGGCATCTTGGAGCTCAGAATTTGGAGGATGTCTCAAGCGAAACGGGCCGGACCACCTCTTGCGCGGCATCAGAGAGCGCAGAGTTGCGAGGATGTCTCAGGCAAAACGGGCCCGACCACCTCGCGCACGGCATATCAGAGCTCAGAGTTAGGAGGGTGTCTCAAGCGAAACGGGCCGGACCACCTCTTGCGCGGCATCTCGGAGCCCAGAAACTTTGAGGATGTCTCAAGCGAAATGGGCTGGACCACTTCTTGCGCGGCATCTCAGAACTCAGAGTTGCGAGGATGTCTCAAGCGAAACGCGCCGGACCACCTCGCGCACGGCATCTCAGAGCTCAGAGTTTGGAGGATGTCTCAAGCGAAATGGACCGGAACACCTCTCGCGTGGCATCTGGGAGCTCAGAATTTGTGGAGGATGTCTCAGGCGAAACGGGCCGGACAATCTCTCGTGCGGCATCAGAGTTTGGAGGATGTCTCAGGCGAAACGGGCTGGACCACCTCTTGCGCGGCATGAACTCAAAGTTTGGAGGATGTCTCACGCGAAACGCCCAATCCCGGACAACTCAGAAACGAGAGTTGCGAGGATGTCTCAGGCGAAACGGCCCGGACCACCAAATTTGTTTGAGGACGTCTCTGCTTTGAATTCCCTCGGCCGGAGTGAGCTTCTATCACAACAGCACCCCGTTCAGCAAGCTGTTTGTGGAAAAACACATCGTCGGAGAGGTGGGCCTGATGAGAGTACGTTCGTGCGGCGTCGGCGCGCGCAAAGTTTTTGACACCGCCTGGATCGTTCAACCTTGATAAAACCGATCGCGGCCCCGATCGTTCAAGGTTGAATTCCGTCGGGTCCTCCAGCGTTACCGTGCCCCTCAGGGCTGCCGCGTCGTTCTATCATTCGGAGTTCAACCTTGAACGCCTTCGCCGGCGTCGCCGGCGCGCCATCGCCGCGTGAAAATGCAGCACCTGTTGAGGTTTTGGACATCGAGGCTTTACGCATGTCGGGAATCACTTGAACGCCGCTCGGCCCAGCTCTGAGCGAGAAGGTGGCGGGAGGGAAGGGGGAGGGGGAGGGGGCAACATGTCATGCAAGTATCATGTTGATCCCATCGTACTTGAGGACCACATCCCAGAAACAATTTCGAGCATCCAGGGAGGTATCGAAACAGTGTGTGCTCGACACGCTGGCGAAGTGCCAAACAGGTATCGCCTCCTCCCCGTTTCGACATTAGTTCTTGGTGATCGAAGCTCTTTCTGGCGGTCAAGGCTGAAATAGCTTGGAATATAATGAAGCAAACCGACTTGCCAACATCTATTTGGACGCCCGAAAATGGGAACGGGAAAATGTGTGCGACACCCAACAACAAAATGTTGTCAAACCGACAACGGCCGCTGCTGGGGAGGCGGCCTTCTCTCGCCTTCTCTCAATTGGACGACGACCGCGGCGACGCCGACAAGAACCCTGCTCAGAATGAACAAGAGCTGCTGCTGGACTGTGCAACTACGTATACCCATTGCTTCCGTGCCAATTTCGAGCGCCCCGAATGTCGATGTACAAGCCTCACCATCGCTCGGGCGTTCATTTCCCGCGCATTTGTCGATTTCGTGCGTGCTTGTTTTGCAAGATGTTCCCGGATGTTCCTTGATGGTCCTCGCCGAAAAGATACACACGTCCGACCGATGTCAAGACAACGACCGCGGCGACGCCGACAACGAACCCTGCACAGAATGAACAAGAACTGCGCTGGACTGTGTATATCCATTGCTTCCATGCCCATTTCGATTGTCCTGAATCTCAAAATATAAACATCGGCTACACGCAGGAGTGACCCTGGGTAAGAGTGACATGTGGTGCGCGGCTTTCAGGGGGCCGCGGGGGGCCCAAACACAAGCGCGCAAGACGCTCCTACCGCATTGCGTTCGGCGATCGGGGGACCCCAACGGACCCGCACCAAAGGAGGTGTCGTGGCCGAAACTGTGTCCGAAAGTCTGCCCGAGGGTGACCGAAGCTGGCGCCCGAGCTTCCCCGACCGCGCCCGAGTGGGACCGAAATGTCTGGCTCGAGACCAAGACGCCTTCGGCCACACCTTCGGTCACGCGACGCTCGCGGTCAGGACTTCGGACAACCCTTCGGCCACACTCTTTCGGCTGGCAGGGGCGGGGTGCCACGAGAGTCTCGGTGCACAAGCCGGCTGCCGCCCCGCGCGCTGGCGGCCCGGGCCCTCCTCGTGCTCCTGCGAGGAGGCCACGGCGGCGCGGCCGCGCTGCGGCGCGGCGCCCCGCGCCCGGGCCCCGCGGAGGCAGCGCCTCGCCTCTGGAGGGCGGAAGGGCCACCCTCGGCATGAGGGAGCCCACAGACCCAGGACGGGAGAAGATGCGGCAAGGACGTGAGACCCTCCGCCGGCCAACATGAAGAGCATTCGAAGGTACCCTCCCCCAGGATGCACAAGAACATCCAACAAGCACGAAGAACGTAAGGTTACTCAACCCGAACCGACCTCGACATTATACCTCTGTCCGACTGCGCCCCAAAACTTACTTTTCTCTCGTCGAACCCGAAAGAAAAGTACGAAGAATAATCAGTAGTAGATCTATGGAGCACTGTAGGTATGTTTCGCAGATTCGACGGGAAATGGGGCAAGTCGATTATGTAGTCCATCTCCTACTCGAAGAAAAGACATATGCGGCGCCCAACCACGTACATGAACACGGCCCCCTAATCCGTGAGGCCGGCCGCGTGATACCAACGTTCGCGCAATGCATATGTTCGAAACCAACGTGGATTCATGTACGTGTACGCCCTTCCTCCTCTCCTGCGCCACGAACGGCAAACAGTTCTGCATGCACGCCCTCGCGGTCAGGATTCCGGGAAGCGATCCCGTGGATACGGGGCTGCATGGGTACGTTCCGCGCGGAACGTCCGCGAACAAAAAACTTCCCGTGTCCACGGGGTCCTGGACAAGGGGCCCAGCATGCGAGGCCGTGGATACCGATGATCTGTTCCCCGCCCACGGTGATATAGCACCCCTATAGACGAAGCCTCGCAGCGAACGCACCTGTGAACATCGCGACTGGATCACCAGCCAAACCCCATCTTTCTGCGGCATGTTTCGAGCCGGATCGAGCTGCGATGGCTCTGGCACGAAACCGGGCAACTGCGCCAGGTCTGAAGAAACTGCAAAGCCCAGACCCCAGGGGTTCTAAGGGTCGGGGTGGGTTTTCCTCCCCTGGTCTTGGCCGCGAGCACAAGGTGGAAAGGGGAGGGGGGAAGGCTTCTCAGAAGAAGGCTGCTTCTTAGAAGGCGCCGGCCTTACATCTATCAAGAAGGCTCGCGCCTTCTCAGAAGCAGGCGTGCTTCCAAGGAGTCTTCCCCCTCCCCCCGGCCCCCCTCTGCTCGTGGCCGATGATCGCCAAGGAACGCCAGGGCGGCCGGAACGCCATGGCCGCGGCCGCCGCGCCGGCCTGGGCGGCGCGCCCGAGGCCCAGCTCGGGCTGGAGCGCGCCACCCGCGGCGTGCATGCATGCCCGCAGCTACAGGAGCACCCGTAGAGGTCTACAGATGCATCGGCGACGTTGGTGGTGCATCGGCGACGCCGGCGTGGAGAAGATTGGGCTCCACATCGAGCCGCATCGCCGATGCATCGACGATGCGGCGCAATCCTCCGACCCCATCTGGGAGGCCTGGAACCAAGCGCTCAGACAAAAACAGTGGCGGCCGGGTTTTGTCACCGTGGCCTCGACCAACAGATATCCACCAATCTGAGGTTCTCGATCTGCAGGGGCCCAGGGCCACAAATACATCGACACAAATCCCATGACCCCCTATCTTTTTCCATAGTTTCTGTATGTTTGTCTTCCCCCCCCCACTCCCCATATTTTCTGATATGTTCTTATGTTCGTGTGTTTTGTTTCCCTCCTGACAATCCGCGTTGTTTCATCCACCTGGGCCCTCCGAGGCCTTTTGCGGCCCCAGGGTCGTGAGACGTGGATCCAGGTCGGAGGGACGCCTCCGAGGAAGCGGGATCGGGACATCTGGGGCCGTGGACTGAAAACGTCGCCTCGGCGGAAGGCTGGGCTGGCCCTCTGTACCGCAGCCTTCCGGCCTCGAGGTCGCCGAGCACATCAGACGGAAGAGCTGGCCCAGCAGGGAAGCAACCGAGGGGTCTGGGGGCCCGCGCATTGAAAAGAAATCGGAGGCGTCCAGATGCCCAGGGCGTACGCCGCGCACCCCCTCCTCTGCCGTCTCGACAGGCTCAGGCGGGAAGCCTGGGGGTGCGGGGTGCGCGGGCGAGGGAGTCAAGGCGCCCAGGGACACATACATAAATACACACACGCACGATTCCCACGATTCTCCTATCTTCTTCTTGTAGATTGTTTGGGGTTTCGTCTCCCCATCCACTTCCCATAGTTTCCACTATGTTCATGGGAATCGACGTTTATTTGTTTCTGTGTGTGCTGTTCACTCCTGAAAGAGGGGGGCGGGGCGGGGAGGCGACAGGGGAGCGGGGCAAGCTGTAGCTGCTCTGCCGCTGCATCCCATCTGAGATCCCGCCCCTTCCAGCGTCGTCTCTCACAGTGCGCTGAATCCTGCTGTATTCGCCGGATCATATCGTGTCGGACCGTGACCCCTTGATATAATCTACGATAGTTTGGCCCGTCGTTGGCAATGTACCAAACATGAGAAGCAAGGTAAAGACAAGCTTTCAGAAGTCCGTGAAGATTATCCTGGATCGGCGCTGGGCGCCCCCCTTGTGCGCGGAGCGCGCCATGGGGTCCACCGCCGACCCCGAAAATCCGCGCGGACCCCCGAATCTCTACTGTCGTGCACAATCATTAACTCTCGTGCTCACGGCGGTTCAGAGATTGTACCCCGAAGGGTGGGGCCCGAAGGACACATGGCCGCAAACAGTGAAGGTTCAGCTTGGGATCCCTCTCCTCCTTCATGCCTACAATCAACCCGTACAATAAGGATGCGCTGTAAGGATGCAGTGGCCTTGGAGGGCCACGTCGACCCTTTTCGAAGAAGGGAACGACTACAACATTGACTTACCCCCGAAGTAATGTCTCCGCCGGATCTGGTACGCATTTCCAGAGCACTATACGAATTTTTATTAGATTCAGAATACAATCGATTATCTGGGGTAGCTCAATTCTGTAGTCGATCCCCCACTCGACCTTTGCGAGCGGAGTGCGCCCAGCGAAAGCAGCAAAAGATGGGCCGAACGGGGAAGGATGCGAGGGCAACCTTGGACGATTGCTCGTCGTTCGTATCTGGGGCCCTCTGGGGAAGGCGTCCAAGAGGGGGGGACGCAAATCGTGGCTGGCGGCATGAACGCGGAACAAGGGGGTGCCCCTAGTCATCGCCTCCCTCCTGGCCACCCCCGAGCAATGCGGGTCGACTGTAATCCTGTAGTCTCTAAGTGCCCCAGCTTTGAACCGCTGGTCTTTGATGCTGTGCAGCTGGCGATGGGGGCACGACGGGCCCGGGAGGCCCGCTGGGAGGTCGGGAAAGGTCCAGGAAGAGACACGCCGCACGCGCACGCTGTCGAGCCAGCGCCGTGCGCGCCATCGAATGGTCGAGTAAGGGATCGACTACATAATTGATTTACCACAAAAGACCACCAGCCCTCCGGGAGTAGGTGGTCGAACGATCTCAGTTGCAGGGGCCTAATAACAGCTCTTCTTAAAAAAGGTACCAAAATGACAAAATAACTCGCTACAAAACCACGAGTCAGCGGCAACTAACTTACTACAAAACCACAATTATGCGGCAACTTACTCGCTACAAAACCACCATTAAGCGGCAACGAACTCGCTACAAAATCACCAATGAGCGGCAACCAGCTCGCTACAAAACCACCATTAAGCGGCAACTAAGTTGCTACAAAACCACCATTAAACATCAAGTAACTTGCGGCAACAAACCACGCATACCAGGTACCATGCAACATTCAATGTTGTCACACAAAGGCATCCACAGGCACAAGACTGTCCCATCCTCCTCGTTATCCTCCTTTTTTCTCCTCCTCTTTCGCCTCCTTATCATCATCAGCATCATTTCTTTGGCCCAAGATGCCACAGAGAACGAAGAGGTTTCATGACTGCACCCGGCACCCCGAGGATGACTTCAAAGTCCCCAAAAGACCCCGAAAGGCAACCAACCAAAAAAAACAAGAGACCCCAACCAGGCTTGTACGCAACAGTTCATAGACTCATGGACGGCGGCGGGGATTGCGGCAAAGAGCTGGGGCCCAATGAGGAACCTTTTGGCCAGCTCTCATCCCCAGAACTCGCCCAGGTCAACCTGGGCCCCATCGGCCTTTGCGGCCAGAGACTGCGAGACTAAGCTTGCATCTTGGCGCGGGGACGGCGCCCGACAAGAGGCGCACTCAGCAAGCGCGCGATGGCTCGCCAAGAAAAAAAAGGCAGCCACCCACTCGTGGAACGCATTCCCTGCTAGATCGCACAGCAAAGCGTCAGGGAATGTTGTTAAAGCTGTTTGGCCGCGGCCAAAATGAATTCCTTGCTGCAAAGAGGCCTCCACTCCTGTGAGTAGAGGGCACTTGTCTGTAATGAAATGCCGCATTACTGGAGTGATGGTTCCTTCCTCGACATTCCTCCCCATCGACTGGGCAAGATTGACTACTCTCCGCGGCCTGCGCGGGAGAACCACGTCGAACTCATATCTGAGTGCTTCAAATTCTCTGGGCAAGATCTTTCGCAAAGCGGGAAACAACGTCTGCAGCTCTACGGACGGCGCTGCACTCTCCCACCAGTGGTTGCCGTTCGAACGACAATATGAAATGTCGCGGTTCGTCCACCTCGCCCTCTTGCTGCCCGAGACTGCCTTCGCTAAATCAACGACAGGGGGATCTTTACACTGATCCACTTGCTGCCGTATCACTGGGTGATCATCGGGCAAAAAGGTGCGGTCGTAAGTAAAGCCGACGTATTTACATGCAGCGCGCAAGTCGACGACTTCCTCATGGGACCGAGACTTAACAGCACAAGACGGACACAAGTGGATAAGCGAAAAGACCGGGAACGAATAATGAGGTACGACGAGAAGGATCACTCTCCGCCAATTGATGGAGGATGATATAATGAGCTAGACTCCTCATCTTAAACCTCCTATGTCCCTTTCTCGCCGACTCGCGAATCCCCTGGGCCCTGGAGTGAGCGGCCTGGGATTGCGGCCTTGATTGGACAGGACACGCGAGAGGACGCAATACCCTTCCGAGGGCCACATTGCTGTCACATGAATGCAGGAAGCATGGGTCACGAGACACAGGACACGAGGGCACCCTTGATTTGGCAGGATCGACCTACTAATCAGGGCCGACTGTAAGTTGAGGCGTCCTGCATGACCCTGTCCACTGCCATCGGCGACAGTCCGTTCCACTTGTTCTCGGGGATGGCATGGATCGAAATTCTCGGGCGAGTGACTGGGAACCCCAAATCTGTGGGATCCAATTGGAAAATTGCGCAATGAAGCCCAAGACTAGCGAGAGCAGCCACGCATCTGTCCAACGGGCTCGGGCGTCCGAACTGGAGCCCCCGGACATTCTCTAAAATGAGAGCCTTCAGCCCGTTGGCATGCCGTCGGACATATTCCAAGATGCCCTCTTTGACCGCGGTGCCAGATTTTGGAGCTGCCCCAGAATCGAGAGCTAGGTTCAAACGGTGTTGCGCGACGCATTGTTGATCTGGCTCATACCTTGACAGGGAGACCCAGCGATCAGGTAATCGACGTCATCTACACGTCTGGCGAGGCCATTGATTAAATGGGTCGGACCCTCGGACTCATCACCCAACATCGCCCCGAATGGCCTGCAGTCCGCATACAACTTCATGGGAGCACTTGCAGCAGACAAAATGCAACATCTGACGTATAAAATCTTGCTTTCTCTCGTCGATCTCGGACGAGAAGCAATGCTTGAAGGCGGTGCAACCCAGTTGCCATGCTGACCTTGCCCCCCCCAGCCAAGCCACCCGAAGCTGTGAGTTTCTGACGTCGGAGTTTCTCTTCTCGACTAGACGCCGCAGGGATCGTCATCGTTCAACCTTGAACGGCGCGGCGGGGCTGCACAGGCATCGCAGATCACAGCGTCGCCAGACCAAGTCCTTTGGCCCGCTGGGCTGCCAGCGGCGTCCAACCTTGAGCGACTGCGGCGGCGTCGCCGCCGCGTGGACGGGGCCCATGGACATATTAATACAGTAAAGTATTAGACATATTCCCTGGAGGCCAAAACGACTGGGGCCCTTTTACTCGGGCCCGAAACAGTATGCTCCAGATATGGGATCGGCATAGGATATGGGTTCCCTCGGCGGCCCCCATTTGATGTCTGTTTCTGCTTTCGTGATTCGAAGCCCAAGCGACCTGAAAGATTCGCAAACTGGTGCAATCGCTAGAATTGGAGAATCCGTTCCAGAACAAGCGGCGCCTGCTGTGGGCGCAGGGTTCGCCAGCATGAAGG